GAGTTGCATTTATCATTATTGCCGTGGAGCATGGAAAATAAACATAATATGTGTATGTTTATGTGGGCTGATATGAATTATGATGAATGGCATGGTTGAATATGCTAAATGATATATGTATATGTGTGGCTATATGTATAAGTCGACGTTTATGTGAATCGGTGTTGAAATAAACATATTGTATGCATTGCTTGATAAATGTTGTAATGCAGTGTTGTTTATGTGCAATTGTAAGTGAAGAATGCATGAAAATATATTATGTATATATATATGTGCATTGCTTAGTGATTCATGTTGTTGATATTGAAATAATGAATGCGTGTAAGGCTCATGTACACTGGGGTAGAATGACTATGTGTTGTTCCTGGTGGGGCATGAGTGATATGCCCACAATCCCGAACGGGAATTGGTGGAATTGATGGGCTTTACGTGAGCCATATGGCATAGATAGGATTGTTGATTAGAGTTGTGCTTACGTGTATGTACATGACTTGCATAATTGGGAATGTTGTATGAAAAGTATGCTATGTGCATGATTATAATGTTTTGGATAAGTTATGAACATGTAATTGATGTACACAACGTGCTTATGTGTATGAAAATGTGGAATGATAAGAACCACGGATATGTGCATGATAATACGTTTGATGATTAATCATGTTAGTTTAAATCAATTTGTAAATGGGGAAGCATGCGAGAAGTGAATATGCAAAGTGGTGAGGAATGTGGCATTTATGTATTTTATGAATGTTTGTGTACATAATTATATGCATTGATTTTATGATAATATTTCTCACCCTTCTGCTGGAATGATGTCCTATATGACATCGTGCAGGTATCCAGAGTAGAGTTGCTTGTGGTGCGAGGTCGCTATCGGTTTAGCTGTTTAGTGATTTAATTAAGTTGGGTCGAGTCATGCTCTGGTCATGTAACACTGGGATCGCTTGGTTACATTTTATAGAAATGTGTTATGTTTTCATATTTATTGAAGCTATGTGAAATTGGCCTTAGTGCCCGATTATGGTTGAATCATGTGATCAAAACGAATATTCCTTTTATGAAAATATCTGTTTGAATTGAATCCGCTGTTTCATGCAAAGTGAAAAGAATTGTAAAACATGATCTTTTATTGTTGTGTTAATGAGCATGGCAGGTGTTTTGAAATTTAAGTGTGACACCCTTGAATGAATGCATGTTAATCGTACTCTGATTATTTTCATTAATTGCGGGGTTAGAAAGGGGTGTTACAGCCACCGTCGGGTCTGCTCCCGCCGGAATGGGAACGGGTTGGAATGCTGGCGGACCTAGGGGCCGGTGGTCGGCCTGGAGGGGTCGCTCTGCGGATGAAGGCGAGACAGTTTGGCTGTCCCTCTCATCGGTTTCCGCCGGACGCGTCATTTCCATCTGCTTGTTTCCGTTGGTGGCGACGTTGAGCGCGAGGTCGTGCGGAGTGCCGTCGCGGTGTGGGCTAGCCATGATCGTGGAGTATTGGTGAAACTTTGGTTTTCTGCTCGGAGTAACGGGGAAGTTTCTGTTCCCACAGACGGCGCCACTGATCTGACCTGACCAGAAGGGGATCACGGGCCGGTCACACTCTATTGGACTGCTACGTGTTCACCGGTGCTGAGGAAGAGAAGGGGGTGTACCTGCAAAACACTCTGATGCCAAAGTAAGGAGTTGTGCAGAGCGCGGGCAGAGTACAGAAAAAGGGTAAGAAATGTGTTACCCGACCCTCTTGAGGAAGAGGGTATTTATAGAGAGACCCCAGCGCTGGGCCAACGGTCATTTGAGGTGGGCTGGATTACCAGGCCCAACCCTAATGACTGTTAGGGCTTACGTGGCGTAGTGAAGACCAGGACGTGGTCTTCGCCCTAGTCCAACTGCTCCTTGATTTCCGGAAAGTGGGTTTGACCTGCTCTTTCGGAGGTGGGCAGTTGGTTGATGACGTGTCCCCGCGGAGGGGAGCACGTGGAGAACGTGCACCGGGCACGTTGTTCTCCCCGCGGAGGGGAGCTCGCGAGGTTCCCCGGAGGGCGTTGTTCTCCCCGCGGAGGGGAGGAACCAAAGCCTCGTTTCGATGTGCTGGGGTGCGTCCTGTTCGGCTGATAAGAGGGGACGGCGAGAGGCTGTTGGAAGCGTCGCCAGTGTCTGGTGGTGCGTTCCGCCCGTCCCGCGGGGCGCGCGTGCCCGGCATGACCAATTCGCTTATTGGGCCGGGCGAGGTATTGGGCTGGACCGAGGTCGGGCCCAGGCCAGAACACCTTCCTTTCTTTTTTAACCCACAACATCCACAATAACCCACAAAATCTCCAAACCATAAATGAATCAACCCAAATCGGAACCAGAAAGAGAAGAGAGGGTGAATCATGAAATCAAACCAAAATCCACGAACCTGATTTGAGAGCTTACACACAGAGCGACTGTGGAGAACGAGCAGTCAAACGAGTTGAAGGAGAAGCGATTATCGTGCGCGAAGAAGGTTGGAACCATAACGTTTTGTTTCAATTGCTTCTCCTTTTTGTTGTTATTCTGAGAACCGTGTTTTCAAAAGAAAAAGAAAAGGGAAAACCGTGTTTGATATTCATGCTGACCCTTTTTCTTCTTTCTTTTTTTTAAAAAACTTTTTGTAGTGTTCTGGGCTTTTGAGCCTGTTACAGTTTCTATGTTCACCACCCTTTTATGCTAAAGCCCAAAAGATTCCACATATACACATACACCCTCCATGAATCTTGCACCTCACCCATGTAAATTTGTTTTTGTTTTTTTTTTCTAATATTTTTTTTCTCATTTTGTTTTTATATTATTTTCTTCATTGGTTTTAAATATTGGTTTTTATAAGTTGATATTTAGTTCTTGAATTTTATGATCCTTTCATTTCCATTTTGATTTATCTTTTCGATTTTATTTTCTTTTCGATTCTCTTTTGGTCGATGAAGTCTAAACATTGTGAATGCTGATTATCGAAATTGTTAACCTTCATTATTTCAAATATGTAGTGAATGATCATTGAGATCATTTTCTATACTTTGGGGTCGTGATAGGTTACCTTCGATTAATCGACGAAAGTTTACGACTAAGACGAGATCTTCACCTTTTCTTTTTGTGTGACACGATTCATTGAGAACGATTTACATATCATTTCTCCATCGTGTTTTAGCACAAACATCATTCTTGCGCGGCCTCCTATAGCATGATCTTCGTCACATATCGTGCTACGATTGCTTAGCGCTAAAGTGGACCTGATTCATCCGATCAATGACAATTAACGATTAACAATTAACCACTGACTTTAATTTCTGTCCAATATACTCTTGCTTTACCTTTTTGTCAATATATCTTCAATTATATTCTTGTTCATATTATTCATCTGTGCATTTTATTCATATTCTGTCATCTTATTCATATCTTGTTCATATTATTCGAAAACACAAAAAAAACATTATAAAGCTGTCGAAATCCTAAAAACGATCAATTGGTGGATTGTGGTTACTATTATGAGACATGGAGTTTGGACCTTGTACATAAACCACAACAGATGAATTTTTGTCTGAACAATTGTTTGTGGCTTAATTTAGGACACCTTGCACACACACGACTTTCCTCTTGACCTATCTGACAATGATCCCATTTATTTCTCGCAATCCCGTATACTTTACATGTACTCCGCTCTCTTTTTTATAGACGCACTTTACTCGTTTTTCTTTGATTGTGGTTTGTTTACTAGAAACACCCCTAGGGATCAGGACAAACTAAATCATTTTTAAAAAAATACTAAATTAATTGTGCTCTTCAAAAATAATTATATTTTAAATAAATATAGTTTTTGTTAAAGGATATGTTTGGATAAAAAAATAGGTCAGTCAAATTTATAACGACCAGGATCGGCACCGAGAATTTGGATGCTCTGATCCAATTTTATAAATAAATCACAATTAAAAAGAATTAAAAAAAATTTTTGTAAAATAATATATTTTAAAAGTAAAAATGTAGGTACTAAGAGTTAACTCTTCAACTTTGAGTGAAAATCAAACTTCTTTACCACTATGATACACTAACTTATATTATAAGTTAAATTCAACAATTAATATTTATATATTTATTTTAAGTTTATAATTTATAAAAAAGTTATTTTGAAGTTTCTATTTTTTAAAGTTCCTGAGTTGTGCACCCGATAACAATATTGCCCTACCCGTGCAAACGCAATGATATATCATTATTTAATTATTTTATTTATTTTTTCTACAACAATATACATTTTCAATAGCACAACACATTTTCATTTATATATTTTTACACATTTCTTTGTTTATTATTTAAAACGACATTGCGTGACCCGTGCGGAACGTACGAGTCTCTTACTAGTTATTAAATAGAAATAAAAAATAAAAAAAAACAAATTTACACTACAATTTTTAAATCAGACCCATAACTCCCTTGTTAGTAATTCAATAACATATATCATACTCTACAATTTTTATTATTTTCATATTAAATCAGACCAACCATAAAGATTTTTGCTTTGATTAAATATTGAAAGCAATAATAACATTTTTAATTTTTCTAAATGATCATTTTAATCTCTTCAATCAATCAATTTACACATGATAGGTCATTAAAAAAATCAAATTATGATTTCCTTGTTATAAAATTACAGATATAGACAGACTGATCTCAAATTAATGGTCAAAACCATTTAACAGTAATTTACAGTGTAATTTGGATCATCTAATCTCAAATCAATAATCAGGATTAACACAAGTAACTGCAAGATAATTTTACTGCAGAGACTCCGCGTTTAGAAGAATAATTATCAAACTAATTTTCAATTAACTAAACCAATTTTTCATAGTTCATAATGTTTATATTTTTCATAATTTCAATTTGTTTTTAAGTTAATATTTCTGAACATTTCATAAAAGTTGTTTGTATGGGGGATAACTATTGGTATTTGTAAAGTTGTAACACCTTGAAGCTAGGCAGCAATCATTGAACATTTGAGTTCATTCAGATTGGAGTACAAGAATTCTGCGCGAATCCCACAAGACTCTCATGGAACCTAACTCTCTTTCAGCCTCTGCAAATGAAGTACCAGTAGCTTCTGATGTGAAGGGTAACTTCATCCCTTTATCAGCATGTAGCTCGTAAACATCCATAACATAGGCCTCTAATTCCTCCAAGCTCTTCCCATACCACTTGCCATTCACCTGAACTACCTTTCCTTTGCCAATCTCCTCTCCTCGCGAGTTTACAAGCACGGCGCTCTGACCAACATTACAACGGACGACTTCTAAAGGACCTGCATCAAGAAACTCAACAATTTAAGGTTCGGAACTATCACCAGAAGTTGTTATTCTTATGAGATTGAGATCTTTTCTTGCTCACAGAGACTGTCATGTAAGTCAGGGGACACTCTTACTGGCCCTTTTTGCTTATCCAGCACTGGATTATCTTTGGATGTGCGGGCCTGCTTAGCTTTTCGATTGTTTAACCTGATAGCAAATATGAAGTTCAACAACAATATCCAGAAGTGCAAATAAATATTTAATGTGAGAAGAATGAGGGTGTAGTCTCACCAATTTTTAAGCTGAGAGGGTGTAACTTCAGAACCCTGGAAAACATAAAGCAGGAATGTCTTAGAGAAGAAAATGAGTCAAAATATTAAATGTAGGTTTAGCTGAATTTACATACATGGTGACTTAATTTTTCAGCCCATGATTGAAGAGAAGCTGCATTTCGCTGCATTTGTGGCTCATCCAAGAGTGCCCTCTCCATCAACTCCACCATTTTATCATTCATTATAGTTCGTCGCCTTCTCTTTTGAACCTTTTCATCTTCTGGCTCATCCAAGAGTGCACTCTCCATCGACTCCGCCATTTTATCATTCATCATAGTCCGCTTTCGGTCTCTTCTTTGTAGAGGTTCAACCTTTTCATCCACCGGAGTTTCATCAACTACAACCTTTCTAAGATGCTCCATTGATTTTGATTCGCCGTTATCTGCATGATTAAGGACATTTTTTCCTTTTACAGAACTAGTATCTGAACCACTTGTTTCAGCGTTCTGAGCATCCTTATGCGTATCTCTTGCTCCTGTTAACAACACAGTCTTACTACCCATACTTTTACCTCCTACCTGATGTGGCCTATTTATGTCCTCGCCTAATTTTGTGTTTTCAACTCTAATATTATGCTGATCTATGCTTGGAAATGCAGAATTCTCGGACATTCCCTCCTTCAAGTTACCAAGCTTATCAAGTTCAGCGGGTTCTTTTACTTGTAAATGCGTCGGGTGGATCCCTATACGCTGAGCCTCCTACAGGGAATCAAGCTTTATGGTTCAAGCCATTTCGTAGATGACAAGCAAAAAGCCTAGAACTAAGTAATCAGAAAAGCTAGTTTTGTAAGGTTAAGTTAGGTTCAATCCAAATTTCAAAAAAAAACTAATCACATGATAATGATTCCTCAAATTTTCTATCCTGAATTTCTCCAGCATAACAGAAGTAAATAGCTTTAAAGAAAACAGCCTAGAAACAAATGATTTAACAGCTTGGATTTAAAAAAAAAAAGATTTACTTGAACACGATTTTCCCCAGAGCCAGAAGAAAATTGTGCTTGCATTTCGCTAAAAAATACCCTGCAAGCAAATTTAAAATATAAGTTTCAACATGATAGTACAAATATAAATAATAACTAATTTTACAACCAACACTGTTATCAAATTGTGGTGCCATGACCGCTATGGCGGATATACATTGCGGTTTTTGGGCTCACCGCAATGGTAAATATCGGCCGATATTGCGAGTTTTCTGCCATAATCCGCTATAACAGCGCTGCAAAGCGGCCGATATGGCGGGATTTTGGCTCTCCGCAATGGACCACCATCCACCATGGACAATACTAACAACCAATAGGAAGAATGTGTTGGGCATAGTTCTTTTAGATAGTATCTTGCTAGTACTTTTTAATTTTTAAAACGCATGCACAAATTTGATTACAAAACAACAACCAAGCCTTATTCTACTAAGTGGAATCGACTACTTGAATCAATTTATGCCATAATGTTCTATCAAAGACTATGTTTCTATTCAACTTGTTAATCACAGACCAAGTATAAATTGTTTTCTAGGTATAAATAGATGGCAGTGCTTAATTGCCATTAAAAAATAATCTTAAAAAATATTGCTTTTTTTATAATTAATTAAAACCTAACCTTATAAATAAATAAATGAGGCCCTGGGCAGTAGCCTTATTGGCCTACCCCTAATGTTGGACCTAACATGCCCAAACCACCTAAGCCTACTTTCCACCATCTTTTCTACTATATTTGCTACCCCAACACCCTATCTAATATTGTCATTTTTAATCTTATCTCGCCTAGTCTTACCACACATCCAACGTGTTGGAAAATATTTTATTTCCATATTTAATTGTTTACGATTATTTTCATTTATTTTCTTTTATTCTCCATTAAGAAGAGAATTAAATATTTTTATTGTATTCTCATTATATAAACCAGCCTTTGGCTGAGGAATAAAATTACAACAGCTTTTATCTATTTCTTCCGATACAACGCATACACAAATTTGAATTTTCATTAATTCTTGTTTGTGCCATAGATAAATTGGGAAGTAAATATTTAAATTATAATGTCAAAGTTTGACTTTAATGTTGGCCTCTTCCTATCATGAAAACTTTATTCTAAAAAGTACGGAATTACCATTAGTTGGTAATAGTAAGGTGTTCATTGATAGGGGACCAGAATTTGATATGGACAGTGGCATGGAGCTATGCCCCTTACAAGATGAACAAATAAAAATTAGAAACTAAGGAAACTATGACTACCCACCCTTTGCAGAAGAACCAACTTCTTCACTCAACCTTTACTCAAATTCCTTTCACAATTTGCTTGAAACTGATTCTCTTCACTCAACCATTTCTCAAATTCCTTTCACAATGATTTTTTTCATTTCCCCCTTCATTCCTTCATTCCTGTCTGTGCCATGATTATTGAAGCTACAAAAATTATTTCTATATTTATGAAGTTGTACAAATCATGAATTTTAATGGTGAGATTTCCAAAAGTAACCCACTCATGTTGAATTCCAATATGAGAGGATTCAAATCCACAAACAATGGCAGATAGACAACAACTAGAAGAGAAAGTCTATTCTATTTTCCCCGTTCTGTGGATAGAAATATTACTTCGAATTTTGCTAGATTGTCCTCCAAACATCTATAGTACGGAGGATGAAAGTGACAGAGTGACGGATAGGAAGTAGATATATGTATTAGAAAAGATTTGAAAAATATGTAGCCATGCCCTTTACAATCAGACGACAGAACTGTAAACAGAATAAAAAAACAGAAAGAATGCAAAGACTGCTAACTAGAAAATATGAGATGAACTCCTTCAAGCGTAATGCTTGCCTACCTTTTCCAAAATATTCCTTGCCTCACTCCACCCTTCATTCTCTTCGCCTCGCCTCATTTCCAATGATTACAAAATCATACTCCGAATCCTCCAGTATCATATGTCCATGCAGTCTGTTATATTACAAACCATATTGTTGTTGAGATATTGTAAATCACATCAGTAATTGATAAAAAAAATTCATATTGACATCCCGATTTTTTTTTCGGGATCCTTCCTTTCTTTGGTTGACTCTTGCATTTATACAGTGTATTCTCTACTCACATAATTAGATAATCATTATTCAGTCTTGAGTAGTATTTTCAATATATCTCGTGTCCTCCTAACACCCATGGGTCTAACAACACTCCCCTCAGAAAAGATTCACAATGTGCTCCAGGTGACCGTCTAACAATAATCAACGTGTCCTCTTAACAATATCTCAGTCACGACGTCCATATTAACTATGGTCTCTTATTACAATGGTGGTAATTCATCTTCTTTGCTTGTTGGGAACATCCCTGAATTATAGGTTAAATTGCCATAGTAGACCAATCTGAATGTAAGAGCTAGTATGACTTTTCAACCCTCGATTTTTCAAAGTCCACCGTCGACACCGAATAAGAGCTAGTCCGATTGCCACCCACACTGCCTCTCCAAGGTTCTCCTCTGAAGTTTCCACAGCATCAAAGTGCTTCACAATATAAATCAACCACCAGTAAGCATTTTTTCTCCATTAAAAACGAGGAATCCTTTTCTCAAAGTACCCCTTATTCTCATTGCTTCCAATCTTGTCATCTAACTTCCATTTTGTTTAAACACCAGGAACTCGAAAGACCTTAGTTCTGGGCTTTGACACCAATTTTGTAGGAACTAGATATATGTAACAGAAAGTATATGAAAATACGGAGCTATACTCCTTACAATCAGAAGACAAAACTGTAAACACAGAAGAGAAACAAAAAGAATGCAAAAACAGGTAATGAGAAAATAAAAGATGAACTCCTCCCGCAAGCATAATGCTTGCCCGGACCTTTTCGAAACTATTCACTGCCTCAGGACCTTTTCGAAACTAATCTCGTAGGATTGTTTTGAATCTTAGAATAACTCATCATATTAATTTTTATATTAGTTATTATCATGTTTTGTTTCCTAATTCTCTTATTTATTTAGGATTGGGAGTTTTGTATTCCTATAAATAAGGATTACTTTTTAATCTTAGTTAGTATATTATCATTATCAATAATATTTCACCACTGTCAATCAAAGTTCTTATTATTTATCTTCTTTCTTTTATCAGGTATGCCTAAAAAAGTATGAATGATAAAGTTCTTGACTTCCTTTGTGCCTGCAACAACCTCTCCTTTTCCCACCTTTGAAAACTGAATAATATATTTCATGTAAAAAATGTACAAACACTAATCTCTTTATATAGATTATTCTAATCTAATGGGCCTAACTAATAGACTAAAGGCCCAAATATAAATTACTACTAACAATTGTAAAAAATAAACAAAACAAAAAAAATATATTTACGACACCACCTAACAACATTTACTAGATAACTGTGTAATCCATAACCCTGAACCCATATTTCGGACCATGTTTGAAACTTTGTCAAAACATCTGCCAATGCCATTTATAATATAACAATTTTGTCCATTTTCCTCAAAATAAACTTAGGAATAATTTAATATTCCAGCAGCATAAGGAGATGCCATTATTACCATGCTGATCAAACATTATTCATTATATGTGTGGCTGACAAACAACCAACCATCAAAATAACTGTTCCATATTAGGCGACTACAGTTAACCCTACAAAGAGAACTAAAAGAGGGACAAGTTACCTTAGAATTTGTAGATCCTCTGGGTCTAAAAAATTTGGCATCAAAGATTGTGCATGATTTAACAAAGAGCCTACAAAAGAAAGTTACTTGTATGAAAGTAGGACTATATTGCAGATAAATCAATTCTTTTTTTAGAACAACCATTACGTAGATTCTTGCTAATAGTGTCCGCTTTAGGAGTATCAGATGCGAAAGAAAACCCAGGAAGCAAATTAGATAGATCCATTTGCAGGCACTCCAGGACCTTTCGAACGAAAAGGTTTCTCTCCTTTTCTGTGGAATAGATTTAAAATGAAGAAAAAAAAACATTGTTTGAGGAAATATATACAGCTATCAAAAAATCAAATATATAGTAAACATTAGAAGGCATTGGCGAAGAATCAACCTTCACAACAGTCGGGAACAAAACAATGAAGATTTGCAATGACTTTGACAAATAATGAAGTCCTGTGATGTGCATAAGAAGCAGAAGGCATGATGTTACGTTTCATATTCAATTCCAAGACTGTTGAATTCTGTAGATCCATAGATGAACTATTATCCAAAATCCATCCAACTGTAGCAAATATATTATATTCAACACTTGCATCCTCCTCCATTTCTAAGAGATTAGACGAACACCAAGAGGATAAAAAATCCATATGGGAGAGTGATAGTACTGCTGTAAGAACTTTAGTCTGGAATCACATGCAAAGGATCCAATCAAATCCATAAAGCTGAATAAACATTTGAGAAATCAAAGAAAAAGCAGATAATGCATCAACCGTAATCAATTAGAAAATGAAGGGTCGTTAATTGATTGTTTCTCATACAAAAAAATCATCACAAAAATCATTTCAGAGACAGAATGAAAATGAACTCCGCGACACTAAAGTAAGTTATCCTTAATATTCACATAATGATAACTTACAAAATAAACTATGATGCAAGATCGAAAGTATGTATCATCAGAGAAAATGTCAGCTAGGCGCATTGCATTAAGTTGTAAAAGCCCAATTGGGTATCTTCTGTCGGTAGTAGTGAGATGCCCAGGATTTCTTCCAAAAGCAGTCTTCAACAAGTCCAATACCTGCTTCATCAAAACAATACTTGAATTCGGAACTGATAGGAACCAAAATACGAATGGGACATACTAGATTATATTGACACTGAAATAACTAAACCAGAGAAATAAATCCCTGTTACATAACAATTGTAAGGAACTGCGATGAAAAAAGGGATGAGGATAGCAGCAGAAATGATAATGTCACTCTCAAGCAATGTTATCGAATATCGGCCATGGCAGCACTATGGCGGATATATGTGGTGGTCTTTGGGCTCGCCTCTCTTGCGGGTTTTCCGTCATAATCCGCTATGACAGTGCCACCAAGCGGCTGGTATGGCGGGATTTTGGCTCTCCGCCATGGACTGCAATCCGCCATAGACAACACTGCTATGGAGAAGAAAGAAACCCCTTCCTGAGATAAGAACCGTCCCTACACCCAGCACCCACAATTTCCTACTTCATATTTCTCATGCCCTTTCTTTTTTATTACCCTCCCCTAAATAAAGCATGATGTTATTTCCTACTTCAGACTTCTATTGTGGTTCCCTCTTGATCCTTACTGATTTTCACATACCTGTGCAAGCTAACTCTTGTCGGCAGCATTAGCATCATTACTTTCATCACCATCTGAGCAACTTCCATCTGGTGATGGTAGCGCGGCTGACATGTTGGGGACCCATGCTCAATAACCCTCCTTCTCTAGCAGCGACCCCAGGTCAGAAGAAACCATGTTAGGCTTATATTATTCCCGCTTTCTGGCCAAACTATCTTTCCAGTGATTCTATATGACTTTTCAACATCCCTGAGTTGTCTTCTCAATCATAAAACAATATCTCATGATGACTTGATTTTGTGTTAGAATATTTTGGTTTATCTCTTTAGTATGAAGTTAGTATTCAGATATCATCATTAATATTCTAACTTCTTAAATTAATTATATTATCACATATGGATGGATTCAATCCATCCATCTCATTTTATAAACCCATTGGATATTATGTTATCACTTATTAAATTAATTAAATAAACTATTTTTATAAAAAAAATATTAAACATTTCAATTAAATAATTTTTCTTTATTCTAAACACAAATACTTAAATTATGTTTCTATGAAATTTAAAAAATAATTAAAAAATTTTAAATTAATTTTTTGGATGGATGAATATCCATCCATTAGAAATATGTTAATGGATGGATTGGATGGATTTTATCTTTTAATGGATGGATTGGATTGGATTTTTATTAAGAGAGTTTAGTGGATTGTTAATGGATTGCTTTGATCCATCCATTAACAATCCAATCCATATCCATCCAATCCATCCATTTTGCCACCCCTACAATATTGATAGTTTACTTGTTGTCAGAACAGAGTTTCATAGGGTCCTTCGATTCGCTTTTTAAATCATCTAGAACAATCTTCAACTGTAGTAGCTTGCATTTTCCTTGAGAAATAGATCTAAATTCAGATTCTTGCAATAACCAGGAATAGATCTTCTATTCATCAAAGATCCAGCATAATCAACATCATTGTAGGATTCCGAGACCAAAGGATTGTTCCTTTTGAACATAATTCCCTTCCCTGGCCTCCCGTTTAAGCAATGTAATACCTGATAAGTGGTGGCATGAAGATGAGATTTTCTTGGATTATGCATAAATTGACTTAATACACTCTTAGTTTGTAATATCTGGTATTGTACGAGCATGTTAGATAAACTTCCCCGCCAATCTTTGAAACATTTTCCTGTCAATGGCTGGTTCCTCTTGTGCTTCTCTCAGTTTGGTATTTGGGTCCACAGGGGTTACCTGGTTTAGGACATGTTTTTCCAGTTTCTGGCAGGAAATCAATTACATATTTTTGTTGAGATATGAATATCCCTTAAGTAGAATATGTCACCTCAATACCAAGGAAATATTTAAGTTTTTCCAGCTTCTTTATCTCAAACTCTTACTCCAGTTTTTTCTTCAATTCATGTCTGTCTCATCATCTCCGGTTATCGTGTATTAGAGATATAGATTAGCTAGTTTATTTTAGCTAGTATTATCGTCACCTAACTGATAACTAACTCTACAAGTTAGTTATCCTAGCTGTCTAAGGTGACAGACACTTGTCACTTCGTAATAGAGTAACCTGCTACAGCAAGTAAACAGTTTGCAATTATAGATGCAAACTGTTTCTCTCTCCTGTAACCATCTTTTTTAATAATGAAAAACAATTTTTAGAAGAAATGAATACTCTCTCTATGGATTCTATTATGGTATCAGTTTGCTAAGTTTGATCCATGGCAGTTTCATCACCACCACCACTATCCTTCTTCCGCCCAAGGATCATTGGTTCCTCCGGTGCAATCCACTACAGTTGACGATTCACATCGCCTACAGTTTTCGCTTAACATTTCAGAGAAATCAGATGAAAAGAACTTTCATATATGACATCAACAAGTTGAGCCATACATTAACACACACAATCTCATTGAGTTTGTGGTGTACACTCGTATTCCTCTTCAATTTATGGATGAAGAAGCTCGTCGTACTGTTATGCTTCGATGTGATCAAATCAAATGCTTTTGTCCTGGCTTCAATCAACTCTTTTTGGTGAGATTCTCTCTCATGTTCTAGGAAGCACTCACGCTCATCAACTGTGGGAGGGTCTGTTTAACTGTTTTCATTAACAAACTCATGCTAGAGCACGTGTTAGACACTCCTGCGGATTCACGTTAAATTTTTACCTACTCGGAGGGAGACATTGTTAGTTTCAGGGAGATTCAGAAGACTGGTTGGAAAATTGAGCTATCTTGCTGTCACCCATCTTGGAATTTCTTTTGCATTGGTAAACCAATTCTTAAATTATCCTTGTTAGAACCATTGGTATTTTGTGATACGAATCCTAGAATACATCAAAATTACTCCAAGAAAATGACTCATTTATGAAGATAAAAGACATATTCAAATAATTGGTTCCTCGTATGTTGATTGACCAGGCTCGCCTATTAACAAGCGACCCATTTTTGGGTATTGTATACTTATTGGAGGCAATTTGATATCCTAGAAATGTAAAAATCAAAGTTCAGATGCCAGGTCCAGTGCATAAACTTAAAACAGGATCATGGCATTGGTGACTTCTGAATTTATTTGGCTGAAACAGTTACTCAAAAAGCTACAGTTCGGAGCATCTTGGCTGATGACGCTAATATGTGATAATAAAGAAGAATTGCATATTGCCACTAACCCTGATTTCCTTGAGATGACCAATATTGAGATAGATTGTCATTTCATTAGAGAGATTATCGCATCAGGAGACATTACCGCGAGTTTTATCAACTCTAATGATCAATTGGAAGATACCTTCACCAAATCCCTACGAGGTCCTTGAATCAGTTATCTTTGTAACAAGTTGGGTGCATATGACAGATATGCTCCAACTTAAGGTGGAGTGTTGTAAATTGTTAAGAGTCTCGTATCGGATGAGATATGGCCTAAACATATGGTTATAAGTAGGAGCAACTCTCGCCTTACAAGACGGTTTTTTAAGGTTGTGTTAGGTTCAACCACACTTCTAAGATGGTATCAGAGCCTATCCAAGATTTGTTGAACCATGCTATCATGTTTCCGCTATCAAGTCACCCACCATTTATATCGACACACCAAGCCCAATAGTGTGGGGCGCAAAGTAGTGTGTTAAGAGTCCCACATCAAATGAAATATGATCTGAACATATGTTTATAAGTAGGGACCACCTTCAACTTACAAACCGATTTTGTAAAATTGTTAGATCCAACCATAATTCTAAGAAAAATATATTAAGATCTTTCTATTTATTGTATAGACAAAACATATCATGTAAATAGGAATAATATCTCCAATATTTATTTGTATTTATTGTCTTTAGTTGAGCCCATATAAAATTGACTCCGTTATGTGGTTGAACACACAATTTCACAGCATTGTGCCTCTATTTTCTCTCATTCAAACAAAGCTAAGCTATTGCGGGCAACAATTTCCATCACCAAAAACTATTGCGGGCAACAATTTCCATCACCAAAAACTAACCTCCAACGCAACAGATTTAGCCAAATCTAAACTTTGTGATGAGGTGGCTACTTGATCGAGATAAGAAATGTTTTCTGCTTCACACAAACTCAGCAGCTGCAAAGAAATAAGTGGTGACAGTGTTATTCTTTCACAATATACGGCCTTACCCCCGTGACAGAAGAATATTTCCATAGTAAGAATATGTGACCATCACGTAACATGGCAGCAACCTAACAGTTGTGCCAAGTCTTACCCTCTAATTTGTACAAATTATGTAACAGATTAAATTCAAAATCAGCCAAATATGTATGATTTTCCATATGACTCACAATGGATATTATTTTGGCTTTCAGCCTTGAAATTCCAGCCACGATCCTAGTTGGAAAAGATGATTGAGTGTTTAACTTCAAGATAGATTGAGCGAGGAAAAGAATGCTTCCCTTTCCACATAGTTCCTGTAACCAAAAATAAAGCATACACATAGTTCATATATGCATGTATAAAGGGTAATTCATTGCATCAACCAACCAAATAAGTAGAATGATACTATTCATCTATTCATCTTTCATAGTTTCTAGATTGCATGTAGCCAGTTCATCAAATGAAGTAATTGGCACCATGAACTCCAGCTTCTCCCCTAATTATACATCCCTATTGGTGTGCCACCTTTAACTTGGTCAGTTGATTGATCAGCTTTCAACAGGGGAACAAAAATAACAAGGGCTTGAGTTGAGATCGAAGAATGTCAAGCATTTCACGAAAAGTGGTATTCTGAATGAGCCCGAGGAAACAATTGAAATGAAAATAGATTTACAAACACAAAAATGTTAAAGTTGGAGAGGAGAGGAGACTTTGCCCTTCTCGCAAAAATAAAGGTACAAAAATGGGCTCGTAGACCTCCCACGTGTCAAAGTAAAAACACAACCGTTGGAAAGTAAAAAAATGATAGCTTGAACATAATCATATGACGACTATTGACTACCTTTCCTGAGCGAAGTATATTTATATCACCTGATTCAAATCAACAGAAGGAATTCCTGGAATCAGCTATACATGTAACAAGCTTGGTGCATATGATTTATATGCTCCAGCTTGTGGGGAAGTGTTGAGAATAAAATAAAATTGTGTCAATAAGGATAGAATATCATATAATTAAAATTAAAATATCATGCAATTAGGCGTAGAATATCATGTAATTATTTGCATTTATTATGTGAAGTCTATATAAAGAGACTATGTCGTGTAGTTGAAACATAAGGTTTTCTGCATGTCTCTCATATTCTCAATAAAAACAACTTTGGATCAATGTAAACTTATAGACCTGTATAGCAGAACTTTTGATCTAACTGGATTTCGTTGGAAAGTCAAACTATGAAAAGTTATTTGTTAGTATAATATTGATTTTGATTTAAACCAGTGTGTTGCGTCAAATTTCAAATAGATTCAAAGACATAATCACGTCTTAATGTGCTACTCCAAATCTTTTAAAGAAGTCTAGTTTGGAAAACCTTATTATTGAGCAGGCGCTCCCTAAACAATTTCTGCTGGCACAATGACTGAATAAACTGTAGAGAAGCCTCACATTGCTGGCAGAGAAAATATACTACTTGTTCAGATGAAAGATTTGATTCCATGGAAAAATCTTTGTAGCAAGCTATCAATGTAATCTCCAGACTCCTAACAACCACGCGAACTGATCCAAAAGCTGCATCCATAAATAAGTCAACCTATCACAGAAAGTTTCATAATCAGCTACAGTATAGATCTGGTATATTATATAATAACATTGAAATTGTGTCATGAGGGCAGAGATTATGTAAGAAAAATAATTAACTGACTGGAAAACAATTCTTTATGCAGGTATTGTGCCCTTTTCAGGATAAAGAAAAAACTTTTAACACCAAAAGTCCCTTTTCATAGTTCATCACATTTGAGAGATAAGTAAAAAGATTTTAAATCATTACTCATAAAAAGGATTTAAAAAGTGTAAATGCTTAATATATTATGAAAATCATTTTCTACAAGCCATGCCGTGTCTAATGGACACTAACAACAGTAGTTTTAAATCTAGCAACTAAAGCAACAAGTCCAGGTGAACTTGTACCTTTGGGTGTGCAAGCAAAACATTGGCAATATCTTGAAACTGTGTTGATATAAACCCAGTTATTAGATGTAAGCTGCATGCTAAAAGAGCAGAATGCGAAAGGTACATAAGTCTAAAAGCATGATCTTCCTGCAGCACAAGCGCAAATTCAATACAGATAAACAGTATAGAGCTAGGGTACAGATAAACTCAATACATTAAACTGCAGAGATAAGAACTAAAGAAAACCTGTCTGTAGGTACTAAGAATAGTAAGGATGTACAAAACCAAATCAATCAGTTGTTCCACCACTTTCAAATCATGTAGAAAAATCTGTAACCATATTCCACGTGCAGAAATCAGACTCTACTACTTTTCAAAATGAGTTTGTACGCTTTAGCACAAACGATCATTAATATCTAATACCGATAACATAAAGAGTTAATTGACGGTTAGTGGACGAATATTTAGCACACAAAATAGTTTTCAAACTTTAGAAGAATTTCAATTGTATTCAACTTTTAGATAACATGTCTTTCCATAAATAAAAGCAAACAAACCCAGAAAACCACAAGCAAAATACAATAGATATTAATAAGATCATAAGGATTACTACTGCTAACCTGATCAAATTTTGGATGTCGAGAGGCTAAATCACATAACGAATGCAACAGACGAATGCCACATAACACGTATTGGAACACATCTTCATCTCTTCTAGAAAAAATTAGTATTGTAGTAAGATGCAATGGAAGAGATTGTGCAAGCTTGCCCATATCAACCTGTGTATTCAAATACAATTAGAAAGAATAGTCTGATATAAATAAATAAAATAAAATCAAGATCCTAAGAATGAACGACCTTCAGAAGCACTCCTTTTTCAGTAAGGTAGTGAACAGATAAATTTCCACTTCCAGAATCCTTTAATAATCTATAAAGGTCCCGAGAGTTGAGTTTATGCAATTCCTTTAGTGTTGACATCAAGTTTAATGTCTGTTCAAGCAAATAAATGGAACTTATTCAAATTAATGGTTGATGTCGGAAAAAAAATAGTATCATGGATCCTAGTCACATTCATGTGGTTACTACTTGCCTGCTCACCACTGCGAGGCAGTTCTTCCTTATCAATCCCCATTCTTGCAAATTATTATGAAAACAAAAGAGCCTTGTGTCAGCATAATAGATCAGAAAAAATTGAGGTGTGCATATATAGCACAAATAATCAGAGATACATGCATGCGTAAGCATAAGACACACGTTACTTTAAATATTGGAAAGAGAAGCAGCTAGTCTATGGTAGTAGACCTACGAAACATCTGAAGATATAAGTAGGACCATATCTTGGACGGACTATTTAATAGGAGAGTTACTAGGTTTCTCAGGCACTTGGGTACCATTACCATTGTTAAGATGTTTTAAAACATTTGATATTTTTAAATGTATATAGTGTTAAGAATATTTGTATATAGAATAGTCTAACATCGACTATATCATGTAATTAGTTGTAATCTATCTATATATAATAATGTCTCCGTAGTGTTTTTCAAAACACACGGTTTAATCTAAATGTCTCTTAGTCTCGTTTATTTCAGCATGGTATCAAGAGACTCGTTTAAGATTCGGTGGGTCACCTACTATAGTTTCCGCTATCGGACCACCCACCATTTATTTCCACGCTTCAGTTGTCTAATCCTGGACGTGAGGAGGTGTGTTAAGAGTCCCACATCGAATAATATATGGCCTAAACATGTGTTTATAAGTGGAGACAATCCTCACCCTACCAACCGGTTTTGTAGGGTTAAGTTAGGCCCAATCACATTTCTTAACAAAAACCATTTACAAACTTTTGAGATAATCGCTTCTAGATATGGTATTAAAGCCTTAATTAGCAAGTGGTCTAGAGTTCAATCTTTGTCGCACCCATTCTTCTAATTAAAAGAATAATTTCTTCACAAGATGATTTGACCTGGGCATTATCAACACTTCAAGACCAAAAGACTATTGCGTGAAGGGTCGTCTTAGATATATAATGTAAAAGCACTCGCATTATCAACACTTAGAGACCAAAAGACTATTGTGTGAAGGGTCGTATTAGATATATAATGTAAAACAACTCGTCTGTAGTCGCCATCCTTGACCTTTGTTCCTGTATTGCATTGTTACCAAACTAAGGATTGAGGGTTCAATTCCATAAAATTTATTTTCGCTGTTACTTCCTTCTGATTTGGTTCAATTAGTTTATGCCAGAGCCACAAGGGACAACAAAAGGTATCATCAAGAATCATAAAATATTTTATTGTGTAATACTAGCACAAGCTTTTGAGCACTTTTTAATTGATTTATCTTGTACAGTTAAAGAAGAGTTGACCTCCTTCCTATGCACTGCATGTAATCCTGACATTGACCAATGAACTTCAGTCCAAAGGTTTTGGAGCATGAAACAAATGATTTACCTAGCAACAGAATAGCATCAGAAAGTGATATCTATATCCGACCAAGTCCACTTTTCACCTTCAAAAGTTTAAACTACTCCAAAAGAAAAAAAATTACATACTCACTACTTTGCTTTTATTGAGTAGCCTAGCCTTGGAATGTGTAGCTAAAATGTTGGTTCAAATTAACCAATAGGTTGCAAAATCTCATCCATTATCCAGAGGTGTAGATTAAAAAAATAGGGGGCTAAGTATCAATGTTTGAGAATCTTAACTGCTACAGAAGATATTAAAAACATCACCCTTTATTGCTTAAGAAATACTCACTTCCCGTGTATCCGCATATCAGTGGTATATGCATCTAAGAATATTAAAAGTAGAATGCTATATGTGGAGATGTTTATGTCAAATCATCCCAATTCTTTCAAGGAAAAGTCAACAATAAATACACTGTCAAGATATTTTCCATTTATTTAAGTGGCTTTTATGTAAGGTTATTACAAATTTTAACACAATAAGTAAAATAATAAGAAATTGGACTTGTCTAGTACTGTACAAAACTTCCTATTTCTCATCTCTGAAATTCTGCTAGGTGATGTTACCATGCCCCCTTGTGGGTGTATCAATTAAGTACGGTGCCCGCACATTTAACCAATTATAAATAAGACTTTTGCAGAATCAGTAGCCTCATCATTGTTTTATTTTTTTGGCAAAACCATCTAGAAGGCTGTGCGTCTAATGTTTTTAAAAATATCTGGCAAGCATTCATGTTCGCCATCCAAGCAGATTACGCAAATATTTTCTTTTTCTCAACAAATAAAAGAAGATCATACAAAAAAGAATGAAAGGAATGTGATCATATTTCTTACCACTATTTCTTAATTCAATACCATAAAACCAAAGTTTAGCACAAAGCAAATCACAGGAAGTTCACAATTCAGACTGGAAAAAAGTAACGCTAGGTATTGTACATCATTTGCAACATGGTCGCCAACAAAATATAATACGGCTGCGCGTCTAATGTCTTAAAAAAATCTCTGGCAAGCATTCATGTCCACCATAGAGTTTCCTAACCAAGCAGATAACGCAAATATCTTCTTTTTCTTAACAAATAAAAGATTATACAAAAAAGAATGACAGGAATGCGCTCATATTTCTTACCATTATTTCTTAATTCAATACCATAAAACCAAAATTTAGCACAAAGCAAATCACAGGAAGTTCACAATTCAGATTGGAAAAAAGTAACCCTAGGTATTGTACATCATTTGCAACTTGGTCAACAAAATGTAATACTGACCTGGACGCCATAGATTAGCTACTTGTTCGTGCAGTATCTGCCTGTGTTGTTTTGAAACCGATTAACATGTGCGGGCGGGTTTAGAGAAAAAGAGAGAAGGGGATGGCTGGCAGAGATATGAGGGTTAGTCCAAATGGCATAACTAATGCAAAGGTTTTATCTAGTTTTCAAATACCTAATATTTTTACATATGCCTGCACACGGGTTTTACCATATGCCCGCACACGGGTTTTACCATATGCCCGCACACAGGTTTTACCATTTGACTACAATTAGTCCCACCTTGTTTTCAATACACCTACACTAAGATTCTTCCGCTTAATCGGACATATGAAGTGATGTGTTTCATAAAGATGGGTAAAAAAACACTTTCCTATTTTTATGATCCACATGTCGCATCATATACTAAACCATTGGCACATTTTAGTAGGTTAAGATTTTATGCTACATTAAATCAACTATATGTATTAACATGACACGGACATTATGTCATCATTTTATCCAAGTAATTGACTTTACATATGGAGAAAAGGTGCTTATTAATTACATTATTAGTATGACAAAACATGGTTGGTTTTTTAGGTGCCTGCAACATACAAGCATACTCTAGTCATATTTTAAACTTTCATATCAAACAAAAAACAAGAAAAAGAAGAAACCGAGGAAAAGGGAGCAAAATCCCCCTCTTTAAACGATTGAAAATGACAGAAAAAACAAGTATATAAAATGATTCACCAATCATTGTGCATATCTACCCAGTAGACTTTTAAAAATAATTCATGTACAATATTCAACACCGAAGAGAAGCTGCGGAAAAAGAAACTTCATAGCAAGTTTAATGATAGATAGATTTGCACCTAAATATTGAAGTTCAATTTTCTCTAAATGCATAGTTATAGTAAATGCTCCTAATCATAATCTAAGCACAAATTTCATTCCATCTAAAGTCCATCCCCATCATGTTGCACATCACTCAAAATGTAAGATTGCACCTATACTCGTATTATGCACCATAATGAGCCATGAACCTAGTAAAAGTGCACAACCAGGTATTAGAAAAGTTAAAATGATCAAACCTAGTCAACTCAATGAGACTAAAGCTCATTTTATAGGCTCGAGCTCTAATCACCTCAAGCTCACATGTTGCTCAAACGGAGTAAAACGCCCAGGCTTGTGTTACTTGAGCCTTTATGCATAATGAGCTCAGTTTGTATTTATGACTCAACAAAGTTTTCTCCCATAACTAATAAAAAGATAATTTGGTCGGGCCAAAAATAAATTAAATGTAAATAGTACATTAACTCATTATTATATTTATATTACTATTGACACATAACAAACAAAACTTGCATCTGTTGAATAAAAACAACTTTATCTTAGGTTCTTGAGAAAAAATAAGCCATAAAAATAAACCATTTCAATACTTTACCCTAACATTTTGAATATCTAACCATAGGACATAACTATACCATACACATGTTAGCATAGAATAAAATTTCATTATTAATTTGTTCGAGAATATTTAAGCTTCCGTTCATAACTTCCTGAAATGTGTCAGCAATAAATAATTGTCCGACAGATTTTAATGTGTATAGCAATTGATGACATTTAAGTCCTTTATGAATATGCTTTGATATATAACAAACAGTATAGTATATAATTAGATGTTGCCTTGATCATTATAAAATTGTGGACTTGAAAGAAAGAAAGAAAGAAAAAGTATTCCTCGTACCAGAGGCCCAAGTTTATAATTCACTGACAATTTGTTTGGAATAATGAAAAAAAGGTCATGAGGAATAGAAAATGAATGGAAAGAGTATTGAGAACCATTCCTTGTATTGGATGGTTCACCCTCGGGGAGAATAATAAACATATACAACGCAAGAAAGAAGCTTAAAGGGAATAAAATTCTCTTACAGATGTCTACTATTTATTTTAACTGTTTTTCTTTCTGCTTCCCAGCTTTTGCGGGGTTGAAAAGTTGGCAAAATGCTACCCAGCGAACACCTTTGGTTTCCTTCATTATTGCACCCTTTCCATCAAAGTAAGCATGAAAATTAACTGGTTCCTTGCTTCTTCCATTCTCTTCCTTCTCACCCATCCAATTGGCTTCCTATAAAAAAATTAAATCATCCTAATATATCCCATCCCGGTCGAGTAGAAAAACTATCCCCATATTACACTTCCCCCTCTTCGCAACCAATACTCATTCACCCAATTTTCGCACTAATGTTTCTCATCTTCTCTATCTATTACACTCCAAAACTGTTTTCAACAAGCATTGCTTTCTAACATTGAGATTTAAGTCTACATTTGACAACTTATATACATTCCCCCTAAATAAGTTAAAAAACAATTCGCACCGAAAAACCCCAATTCTTTCATGTTTCGATTTTCAACTAC